TGATTCGGAATTTTAATATTTCTTTTGTTTTTTTAACCAAAGAAAAAAAGGAAAAAATAAAAAAGGAAAGAAAAAACATATTTAATTCTGTTGGTAAAAGAATAGCTTCCGTACTAAAGCTTAACACTGTAATAAAAGTAAATTCTACTTTCACTGACTTCTGCAAAACGCTTAATGAATGTTCAAATGGCAATGGATTAGTTTTGGTATGTACATTTTCTTTCAATGCGTTTATAAGTCTTAAAAAGGTTTGAACTGCAGGTTTATAATTATTATTTTTTTTTTATCAGGGTGCAGCTCCTGCGCGATCAATCCCAATAGAAGATGATGATAAAGTGAAAAGACTTTACCCTCAGGCTTTAGTAAAACAAATGAACTTAAAAAACCGTCCACAATATGGTCCATATGATATTTTAGCGAATTTTAATTCGCAAGCAAACATGTTTTTCCGAGGCGATGGTAAAATAAAACAAGGTCAGAATGACTTTGAATATATAATAACTCATGAATTCATTCATGGACTAGGTTTTGGGTCAAGTTGGAGAAATTATTTTAGTGCTGATATATTAACTCCATTGCCAGTAACCGATGGTCTGAGACTTTCTGGATTTATGGAATCAGAATTTGATAGATACATGTTCGTTAAACAGAATGGCACTTTTGTACCAATTACTTCACTTACCAAACAATTTAATAGTCTTTTTACAAATTCTTCAATTAGTTTAACTCAATTTGCAAATTCATCTCAATTTTTACTTTCGCAACAATTATTCACTGCTGCATCTACACAATTCGCAATGCAATTTGTAATCAGTTCAAAAGATCAAGTATTTCTAGAAACCGGTCTCAAACCTTTTCAAGAAGGGTCAAGTATTAGTCATGTGGATAAATCTTTTATGCAAAATGGTGATTTTTTAATGACATTTGCTGCAAAAGATGGTGTTACTCTAGATGATTTTTCTCAATCTAATAGGGTTTCTACTGGTGCTGGTATTGGCCCTAAATTCTGACGACTTTAGGGTAATGTATTTTATTAATATATAATATATAATTAATATTTTAATTCTTTCCTAAATTTTGTATATTGATTAACGTTATTTATATGTATTTTCTTTAGGTATACAACTCGGGATAATCCGAACACTGTAACTAGCTTGCAATCCAGTGATTCAAACGTACTCATCTAATCGTTAAATTCCATAATCAGTAAAACAATCGGGATCCTTACCCTTGTTTTTTTATTCCAATCTGCCATTTTATAGTAATTTTATTAGACTTTCGTCATTATCTTTGTTGATTTACTATCAATAATTACTGAAACTGCTGAACAATAATATCCAATAATATCCATAAT